GGCCATAGTAAACGCGAATTTTAGTTTAACAAATTAAGAAATTAAGTGATTGAAAAGATATAAAACGATAAAAAATTAATTCACAAACAAAGCACGAGCGTAATATAAACGCAGAACAAACCGTTATACCGTTTTAACAAACTCAATAAGCAAATAGCGAAAAGCAACCGGTTACGATGACAGTTCGACGGTGAATGATCACAATCTTAAAAGTTCAACATCATACAGAATTAAATTTGCACCTTGTCTATGTTTTAAGTTCTCTGGTTTATCCCACTAATCTTATAAATTTAACAAGGTTTCGACATACAAAATTGTCAGTTCTCAACCTCGTCCCTGAGGTGATTTGAATCTAAACTACGCAAAAACTCTTTATGCGACGCTGTGGAAATTATCACAGCGGATTTAGACACTACAAAGAGTAAAAAATGTAAACAATCAAATAAATTAAACKCAATGAATCTGAATTCACCTGAAAATCGACTTTCCAAATAAAAAAAATGCGTCCATTATTTATTTTTTCCATTATATGGAAAACATTTAAAAGAAGACGGATCTTATAACAAAATACTATTTAATAATGTTTTCTTTTTATAAATGTTAAGCGATGTGAATTCTTGAATGGCAAAAACATCTGTTTTATCATCTGTCCAACGGCAGTGATAACGGGCTTGATTAGTGAAGAGATTAAATGAAATCCAATCACTTAAAATTTTTGGTTTCCAGGCTAATCATTTCAATCTATCGAATTGTCGTTGGCGGTCGGGTAAAAAGATTATATAATCCGGGGTGACTGAAGTAGTATTCCTTTCTGCTTTGGCGGGCTTTGGCCGCGCTCTAAAAAAATAACCTGTCGAGCCAATACTCTGGGTAACCTAAGTATTTTATTATTTTATTAGGTAATAAAAAGATTATTATATAATACTACTTAGTTGTTTAATAAATTTAAAAAAGAAAAAAATTCATATGTATGAAAAAATTTTTATACTCATTTTAATTTGAAATCTAATTTATTGACATATTTTTTTAATGGAACTATGATTGCTAAATAAAGAAAGAGGATTTATGGCGAAAAAGAAAAATTTCAGCGAATTCCTCATATTTGCTTATTATCATATGGCCGCGCTCCATTTCCTCCTAATTGTTAGCACATAAATAATGTCCACTACGAGCGACGAAGTTGTTATAGTAGATTTGCGGCGTGAACGAGCCGGAGACTTGCGACGTGCCAAACGTAATTTGCACATCTATGCCGACATATCGGTGCAAATGGCACATAAATTTACACCAAAAGCAGTGCATATTAAAATACGCAACATTACACAAAAATTTTAAATTGTTTACATTATTAACTTTTGTTAAATTGCAGAGAGGAAAGGAAAAGAGTTGGGCCCTCGGGGGGCAGCCCATCGCTGTGGAAACATTTTGGTGCGGTCCATCAAATTATTGGACTGACAGCAGCCAATACAGCTGAAGTATATGAATCATTTACTGTGGTAAGCTGAGTTTTACACTTTTTTATTATTAAAATAATTTTTTCTTAAAACATATCAATTTCAAAATTACTTCCGTTCCAGTCATCTATTGCTATAGGATCACCAGAACCAATGTCGCCTGAGCTAGTGTGTACGCCAATAGTGACATTGACGAACTCGCCATCAATGTCGCCATTAGGTAGCTCGACATCAGCAGCGGGGGCATCTGCAAGTAAAAGGAGAAATTACATGGGTGAACTAGTAAAAGTGGCAAAAGAACAAAACGAATTGCTGAAGACAGTGGTGGAGGACGGAAAAATTTTGACTGAGAGAGTTGTTACTGCAATCGAAGAACAAAGTAGTAATACAAAAGAGTGGTTATGATAAAAATTAATTTAAACTGAATAATATTTTTAGAAAAAATCTGAGAATGATAAAAATGAATTTGAACTTAATATTAATTTTAGTAAAAATGTAATAATAAAATGGATTAAAACTAAATATTAGTTTTGGAAATGTATTGGAATACAAATAGCTACTGCGGTAAGTAAAGTGTTTTGTACCGTTTTGGAAACTCATTGCGATGGCATTCCTATTTGCTGTCGCTGTTGATTCATTTTCTCCTAATCTTGTTGTATGATTGGGTTGATGTCTTGTTGCATCTTCTGCTGCGTCTTGAATCCAAGCTAAATAAACTTCGTCGTTCTCAATCTTCAGAAAATTGTGCAAAATGCAACACTCTCTAATTATAGTATTAACATTTTTAGGAGATACCAATCTCGATTACTCGGCGACATTTGGACAGTCGATAGTTATAGAGCTTTTCTACTGGAGATTGATTARCCACATATGGGTATGGTTTCATCATATGACGTGATAA